TCGAGAGTCTATAAGAGCCTAGTCTAATTGGCCTGATAATGCATTCTAGCTTGCAACATGCATGCATGAAGGAGCTATGGCCAAATTTACTGTTGCACGGCAGTCATAAATCTCTGATACTCTCTTGCGCGTCCACCAATGGGACAAGTGGAGTAGCAGAGAGAAGTCACACTGTTTGGAAGGGATCCTTCAAATGTGCAACATTTGCTTTCACTTACTCGTCGTCTCGACACTCTCCGGAGATCTCATTGTCTTGTCAAATGCAAGTAAATTCAGCAAGCCACTCGATATTTGCAGCTCTTCAAAGGGGTACCTCAGGAGCGGAGAGCTCATAAACTTACCTGGCTGGGAGGGTCTCGCGATCAACAAGGCGGGACCTCCACGGTGAGGCTTGACCATTGCACTCTGGGTCTGGTTGACCCGTGTGGCTATCCCGAGTTGGGATCAGCCAACAGCACAATTTTTGCGTTTGGGGTTGCGTTCGCGCTCCCCCGCTAGTAACTAACATGGAGAAGTCTTGCGCAGTCCAGGAGTGTGCAGTGCGGGGAGAATAGGAGGGGCGAATTGAGGCAGGCGTTGCAATCTTTCAATCGCAAGTTATTGCTTAATGGGCACATATTTTCAACATAAACTCTGAATATCCTTCTTCGTTTTGCTTTCTTTGACCGAAATGTGACCTATGCTATAACGTGATCCCACTTGCTATAATACTGTTATCTTCTGAGTCAATTCCTTCTCACAATTCTGAGCCTCTTGATCAGGAAATACTGTATCGATCGAGTATTCCAGTAGGTCTGTAATATACCCTCGTGAAACAAAACTATCAGGTTACTCGAAGTCCACTAATGAAGTTTTTGACTATAATTTTGGTATGGATTTCCAAAACATCAAAATGGTTGTTTTATAAAAGTAGTTTATTAGTTGAGGTTAGCTATAAAGAATAAACTTGGGATTGACGTGACATGCGATGGAATACCTTGGTGATAGAATGTTCAGAATAGATGAATTCGGAAAGTTATATATCGCACACTGATAATAACGAAATGATAATGGCGAACGACAGACTCAGATGTAAGGTTTTCGTAACGTTAAAATCGAATTGATCCCGCGAAGTTACGATGGCTTTCTCTATGCTCCTTTCTTTTCTCTATTATCAATACGATACAACTGAATTCGATTTCCCATTCCAATTTCCAAAATTGTTTCTTTTTTTATTTTTTTTTACATAAAAGTTCAACAAGAAACAAAGTCAATCCTAAACTTTTAATCACCCAAATTTAAAAACAATCCAAACAAGTGTCACTGGTCATTCAGTTAGTTGATCAACTGATTAGTGAATTACTCCATTACATCAGGACAACAGTTACATTTAATCAGGGCTGAACTGGATGAATATCTGGTAATATGTTCCAGTGTTGGATAATAATTGGTGGCCATACATCTACGATATTCAGGAATATTGATTTTTTTGACATGACACGGTTCACCTCGATCAACGGTACACATTTTAATTGGGTGTGCTTCCGAAGCTTTGAGAACTTTCTTTTTCTGGAACAAAATTGTTAGAAATTTCTTGGCAATCATTTCGATGCAAATTATTTCCGAAATCGAAAATTATTGATAAAATTCAACAATCATTCGTAGAACTGAAAATTATTGATAAATCTTATGGGGGAAAAATTGTCCCTAATTGAAGAATCAGAGTTTGATCCTTTGACATTTCGAAAGGACAAAATTCACAAGCAGGCGATCCCACAGAGCTGTCATTCATAACAAAAACAGTCGACAGTTTCGAAATGGCACATACTTCTACAGGTGCAATAATAGATCGCATAAATCGTCGTGGATAAGCTTTCTGTATTCGTATATAAATAGCTCTTTGTTGAGGATTCATATCAGCAACATTTTTCATGATGGCAAAGTGTAGACCATGTGACACTCGATAAACGACGTACTCCCAGTTCATGTGCCATCGTTCAGCTGTTTCCATTTCCATCGGCCGCAGGATCAACTCATAGGATAACCGAGTTACCGTACGATGCTTTATCTGAATACAAAAAAAAAAAAAAAAACTTGAATTGGAAGGAAAGTGCAATTAGAAATATTTGAATAAAATATATTTGATGAAAGGTTTTTGACAAGGAAGAAACGGCGATGCTAACTGTCGTGATTTTTTGATCAGAGCAGCTAATAACACACTGTTACTTAATTTCGATATTTAATTTGTCCTTTTTCGAGATAATTGTAATGATCGAAAAAGTGAGACATTTCATATCTTTCTACATTTAAATGCAATCAAACGGTTTCCACGTAAATTTGAATTTGCACAAATTCAAATTCATTGAAATTTGAGTTCAAATTAGCAAATTCATGGAATATGTGAAACATTTAAAACATATGTTCCTGAAGATAACCAAAGCATACAGAATGGATTAGATAGTGGTATGAGAAGTTTGCAAATCTTACGAATAATTACAGAGTGATCTGATCTGATATCGTTAAGTGATCAGTATCTACTTGATGAATTCGAGACGATTACCCCTACTAATTACCTGCACTTCTTTGCTCGACGAAATGGTATGCCAATGAACTACATAGACCGGTGAGGAGCGAAGTTGAACACATGTTGAACGACCACTTAGTGATGCAAAAACATACCGTACTGGCCATTCATCCGTTTCTAAGGATGGCACCAAACGGAAAACTGATTGTGTCACCTGAAATAATGGTGTGACAAAACTGATTATGTTAAGATAAGAAATGAACTAACAATAAATGAAATGCGATTGACTTACTGCAGTATGAAATTCGTGTAGAACTTTGTAAATTTCAGATACTCGTTGCAATGTGTCCAATTGAACAAAATGTGTACATTGCAAAGCCGAACATCGAAGTAAAATGGGTTCCCGTTTTTCCACGTCTAATTCTTTTAATCGTCGTTCTGGTTTTTCTCAAATGAATCATGATTTGATATTGAATTGAAACTTCTATCTAACTTCTCTCCTTAGTACCGTATCCTTGTCATTTATTTCTTCTTACCACTTAAAACAGTCTTTGTGCTTATCTTTAAACACTAATTGACAGTAATTTATTTAAAACAATTTTGCATTTGTATATGAAACAAACCAATGAAAAGAGCAGAATGCGCCAAACATTTCGATTTCTGATCACAGCATACTGTCTTACGTTCAAACAGCCGCTGATCGGACATCTCCGAAATTGAAATTAATTAAAATTGAAATTCCCACATCTATCTATCTACATGCTAACCGCTTCGCAAGTGCTAACTTTTTTAATTCTAAACTAAAAATGAAATTTCGAAATGAAAATGCAATATGTGACAGGACGTCCTCCAGATAAAGAAAAGGAGGAATGAAGAAGAATGATGGGACCGAGTATTTTCATTCGAAAAGCTTAAATTATAGGCATATTGTCCTATCTCAGATCTTTTATTAATATGCTAATTTCGCTTTTAAATTCACAAGTACATATGAATACTTCATTTGGTATCAAATATTTAAACAGTTTTTAATTTTAAATTTTACAGTTGAATGGGTTTTCCAATCTCAAACAGTGCATTCCACTGTGATACTTGTTTTTAATAAAACCATTTATTTCTCGTCCAAACATCACATTTGAAACAAAACGTTCGGGATTAAGATTTTTTCAAAATGTCATTCCTAATAAGAGAACACATCTGGCAAAATAATAACACCATTTACTGATTACCATAATCACAACTTCTTCGCTACTTATTATCACTGCTAGAAAATTGGAACTGTTATAGCATATCATGAAATACAGATATCAACAGAATTTCATAGTTTGCCATTTCACTTCTTTCAGTTATAATATCATCCACAGCTTTAGCAACTAGTGATATCCCTATCGCCCACTTGATATCTGGCGCATCTACGTGTGTCACAGTATTGCGACAATTTTCTGCTGCCAAAATTACCGCTTGCAAATCTATGGTTTATTAAGAAAACCTCGACTTTACTAAAGCAACTGTAACATGAACATTACTGAATCTTTGAAAACTGAAACATGACTCAAAATTAAAAGTTTTGAGGAACTTCGAGAAAGCGTTGGTTCCACTTCCCCCAAATAACTGAATAATAATAGTAGGTTGAACTGCCTCTCAATCCAATTCATAAGGTTTCTAAAATTGTAGATAGAACGAGTAATTTTCGCATGCATAAATTTTAGATTATATTAAACGTAATACCAGAAAATCAAAGAAAGAGATGTATGAAACAAGCGATCCATAATATATCATAACAATAGACAACAACAAATCACTACAATGGATGACCACGAAATCGAGGAAATAAAAGCTGCAAAATGCGAATATTTGATATAAACACATCTAAAAACATTGTACAAAAATACTTCATCCAAATAAAAATATCAATCAACATGGTAAAAAATAAACAACATTACACAGTTATGCTGAAAGTACAAGTGTACTGCACGATATAAACAATGAGAAATCGATGAAACATAAAAACTTGAAATATATGAAATTGGAATTTTCTAATACCAAATCACAATATAAAAAACCACGAAAATAATCAACTGATTGAATAATTCTCAGAAGTCTTAGGGAAATTAATATAATAATTAGTTAGAATTTTGAAGACAATATAGACTAGCATAGAAAATGAGCAGCTAAATTCATTGTGAAATCAAATTTCGATCTTATATTCCTATTCCTACTTTCCACAATCCAGTTTATAGCAGAATCACAACAAATCATATAAATTATTAGTCCCTATTAAATTAATCAATTTACATAGCATCCTTACGTCGCATTTCTCTTAATATACATACATTTGTCTCCTGACATTTCCTTAAATTGAAATTGGTTATTCCTAGAGTTAATGGCTGCTGCTTTTGAAAATAATCTAAACCACGACCAATCCGATAGGTCCAACCATTGTCAAATCTGAAAGGAAAAGTGTTTTTTTTTTCCAATTCAAGAGAGAGTCCAATTCAAGAGAGAGAGAAAAAATTCTGGAAGGTAATATGAAAATTTCGACATTATTTCTCAACAACCAAAGTACCAATTGTCATAGAAGGATTATAATGGAATGTATGAACATGTACTAACTGAAAAAAACAAACGTAACCATGATATAATCTAGAAATAACTTTCGTAGTTAATGAAAAAATTTGAAATATTGAATTTTGTCGCCTAAAATAGGATAAAAAATGACCGAATTTCCCGATCATGCATGGTTCCGCTGCACTTCACTTTCAAAACTACATCTCGTAACATAAGATCGATCCTCAGCTGTTTTAACTGCAGCCACAGCTCATGCAATGCAGTCTGTTCCGCCTGCGTACAAAGCACAATTTCACGAAGATTCGGTGCTCCCGACACCAACAACTCGCAGAATGCAACCAAGTTTGTAATCTAAAATGAGAGAATTTTGATAACCTTTTTGCAGCAACAGTTCCGAACCACCGCTTAATAAAAAACGTTATGTAGTTAGATACTAACAAAACTAATCTCACAATTTTATTCATTGTAGTCCGTACTCCAAGGACACTAAAAATACTTTTGACATACTTTTGTATGTCAACAACTATAGCGATGTTTAAAATAAACAGTAGAAAAGCTACTTCAAGATAAGAACAAAAGTAATATCAAGCTTCAACCAAAAGATATTAACAAATATTTCAGCTCCAGCGAACGATGTCCAAATCAAAATAGTTTGGAAAAAAACACTCCATGCTAAAGTATCCAATAAGGCTTTGGAACTTCTCTGTATTATCCAACAGTAACACACCTGTGATTTATTTCGCAAATATGGTTCATCGACGATAACCGATCTCAACCGTTCATCGATGCCATCACCGAAAATTGTATCATAACCAAAACCAGTAGTACCATCTTCGATCCGAAATTCCTTCACTAATTTTAAATTAAATTGCTTCCGCTCTAATAAATTGTCTGATGCTTCAGCCTCAGCAAAGACAGCACCCAAATTAAAGCTGCCTGAAGGAGAAATTATTGGTACGGTGTGAATGCACAACATCTCTATGCTACAAACTAGAATAAAGGAGTTGACCCTTAGGAATAGACAATAAAATTCCCATGGATTACGATGAAAGCATCTTATGATTATGAAAATATGTGCTTATAAAACAAACGTGCATCAAACAGAAATCTGCTAAGTAACAAAGTTCACTTGCCATAATCTGAAGCACAAGATTAATGGAACAGCAAGAGAAAGCATCAACATCATACCGATAGGATGTCGTTTTCTTGTCGTGCCATTTTCTGCTTGAGCATTGTTTTCAAATGATGTTTCAGATGTGCATTCAGATATTTGTTCAACATCTTTGAAATCTTCAAAAAATAATCTTTTAAAGAATAATGGACAAAAGAGATTACTTCAATAGCGTTTACATCCTAATTTAGGATCAGAATTACTCGAGACTAGGTTTTATCCAATGATGACAATGAAAACTGATAATGATGATAAGGAAGATGTTGTTAAAAATGAAAATGATAACGATTAACCCGTATGTTAAATATGAAATGCAAAAAAGAGGAAAAAACAAACAGCATTAAAGTTTTATTTTCGTTCAAAATTTATTTTGAAACTTTTGACCATTTAATCCTTCCATAGATGAATATTCGTAGCATTAGAAATATTGTTTTACTCAATTTGCTTCATTTCATTTGACTGTTAAATTACTTTTCAAATAGTTTGGTTGACAAAACCATGCTTAAATTAATTAATCCCGTCACAAATGCTTTGCCTATGCCATCATGCTAAAATAAAAATTCACTCTGCAGCTATGACTGTATTTTACAGTAAAGATACAAAGAAAAAGTAACCATTAATGGGATTTGCACATTGTGATTCGTTGTTGATGCCATTAGCTGTTGTTAGCTTATCTTTTTTACAATCCATGAAAACTCTCCAGAACGGTAACCCACCACCACGATTCCTATCGTTTGAGGCGTTGCAATTTTGAAACAAATAATGCGTCTCCATGGTCATAGTTTAATTGTGGTTATTATTAGCTGCAAAAATTTTCAAAAAAAATTAATATGCAATAAAAGTTAAGAAATATTTAAACCCTTGTATGTGAATTTTGCCTTTATTCAGGACTTTTATTCTATATCCAGCACTCTTTCCTAAATCTTTCAATCTTTTCCTCCTAACTTCATCAATAAATATATTGTGCCTCATTTTTTATCGGATTGAGAAGATGAGAAAGATTAAAAGAAAGTCAAACGAGACATTAGTGTAAATTTCAAGAAAAAAGAATTGAGCCGCTTGAAATGTATTTCCATGACAACCAAAAGAAGACCCGAAGAGTAAGTAAGGATGCCTGCTCTTTGACCCCAATACTTGGCAGTAGATCAATTCTGGCTGATTTTTTCTAAATTATTCTCGACCAATCAACGTTCTCTCTAACCGTATGAAGAATTATATTGCTCTCTCCCGTCTCTCTTTCGTCTCAACGTATCTCCTCACATTTCTAACTGTAAGTAATACTACGCAAAATAAACAACTAATAGATCATGCAAATTCTATCAATACGTTCTTTTCTATAAATCTCCTCTCCTCTCCTGTATTATTCTTTATCTCTCTCACTTCCTACTTCTTCATGTCATCCCCATCACAAACCTCGCGCATTTCTCGAACATCTTTCTGTCTCTTGCCTAGCAATGTACACTCTCCATTTTGATTATATAAGTATCCCGCGTCCCGAAACACCAGCATTTGCTTCGCGATGTTTCCTCATCTCACTATCGGGTGTGCGGGTTCACTTCATGATGTTATGAGAAGTATATGTCTTTAAGCGGGAACTGTTGTTCACATGTATCGGTGATATGTTAAATGTACTGTTGCGTCTACTTCTTTTCTTTATGTAATATTTCCATTTATTTGTGTATTGTTGATTTCAGGTTTTTACCAGTGAATTGTGAACAAAAAAATGGAATCACAATTAGAGAAACTGGCAGATGAAATGTGAGATTTAATTATTTCTATTATTACATTACTACTTTGCCAGTGTATGTATATAAACATGCATACATGTACCTACTAATATTTCTCTTACCTCAAACGAGGCAATAAGCTGCAGAAGTAATAGCTAAATCGTAAAGAAAGCATCGAAAGTTGCATTCCTTCAAACAGAAGTAATGGATTATCTACAATATGATCCAAAAAATCTCGCCATTCTACCACATAACTTTTGGCTTAGAAAATCTTGGTCATCTGCTGTGGAGTTTTATTAATGCTATGAATACTTAAATGTAATGCTTGGCGACTTAATAAGTGGGATTTAAATATCTATTGGGATTTTGTGCTTTATGTAAATAGATTAGCAAGTGCAGATTATTTCTAGTTGTTTTCTTTGCAAAGAAATGGTTCTTCAGTTTAGGAACTTTTCGAGTTGTATGAGCGATTTCAAGTGACAGAGCAAACTCTAGGTAAAATAAATAAAAAACTGTTCGAGGTCAAGTGATGCTAATGTACAGTTAACGTCTTATTTCAGGGTGACTAAAGAACAAGTGAAGGGAGTGCTTTGTGCCGACGAATCAGGCTTAAATGTATGTAGTCGTGGAACACTGAGTAATGCAGCTGGTGATGCAGCAGTCAATTTATTGAAACTTGCTAGCAATTTGGAACCGAGTTTGCCTATGTCATCCATTGTAATTGAGCTTACAGGTTTTTCGTGCATTTATTTTCTCCGTTTTGATAAAAATTGTCAAATGGCTGTCAAAATGAGATAATCTGTAGGGTACTACTAGTCACTAACAATGCTTGTGGAGATTGAAAGTTCGCAAGATATGATGTTTTAAAGATACGCATGATTGGTAATAGAAATAATCATGGTAACTATTTTTGAATAATGCAGTCGAAATTATTGAACAAATAACTTTGAGCAACGTTTGAAGCACGTTTCCTATTATCATTATGTAATAAATATCTCAAAATATTCCTGTGCTTGTAGTGAAATTATACCTTTGCCATTTATTGCTAAGAGAGACGTCATAGTTTAGGTCGTTGATTTTGATAGACATGCGAAGTGCCTAAGCTCTCAGTTGTTTTACTGATAAATTGCACTCTTTGAAAATTCTAAAAAAAATTATAGGTATCGATGGCAGTGCACTCTATATGACAAAAGAAGGAGCCTTAACAACGGCGGTACATCGCATTGACAGGAAGAGTCGTGATTTTGATTAGTTCAGATATCCGAACAGATCAAATAGGCCATTTGTAATCTAGAATCACAATCTTACCAGAGTACACTGATAGCTGATTAAGTGCTCTATGATCCAAAAACGGAATGAGAATAGAATGATCAATGTGTAGACATGCTTTAAATAAGCGTTGAGTATCATAGACAATAAATATGAACGTTTCGATCGATTATTGATGGAAAAGGGTGAACTGGTATGATCTTTTTTGATGTACTGCAAGTTTTTTTCCAAAAGGCTGTTAGGTGTATGCAGCATACTGTTTCCGGGTCGATCGGCCACGTGGCTTGGATAATCTCCTTTATTATGTTATTCCATTTCTTTTGAGCCATTTCATATGTGCCTACTAACAACTCGTTTTCGAGAATAGTACCCACCAGTAGAAAAGTAAATTGAACATCTTTCTTCACCATCATTTCTAAATCTGCATGCAGTATTACCTGACGCGAAACTCTACTTTTTCAATCATTACAGTTCACATCAGCTTTCAAACACGACCCATTATTTTTCCTGACGGTCATTCGTGTTTCGATTAAATCGCTGGGCTGAATATGTTCTCTCTGAATGCAGTGAAGTATTTCAGCCATTGAATCGTCACCATCACGATAACTATGCAACTTTTGCGTCATAATTCGTTAGTAATTTTCATTTTATTTACAGAATCAAGATACACATCAAGAACAAATGGGAAAAGATGTAACTTTTTGCCGGGAATTCCTAACAACTAAAAAACAATTGAAAAAAAAGGAAAACATCATCGCAATGAAATATTACACGAAGTAGGAGACAGTTTCGGATCAAACAGAAATCTCATACGAAGTAGATGTATTTTTTGCACATTCCGGAAAATGTAACTGTTGCATACACAAGAAAGCAATTGTAGGTTATAGAAAAAAAGTATTTCATCAAAACATTTTAGAAATATAAACTTCGTATCATAGATCTAATAATATCGTCGGACAAGAATTACGGAGAGGATTTAATGATTTGTTCAGAGACGAACAGAAAAATTCAGCAATGCCTGACGATCACTCCATGACTTCAGCAGCAGTGCTTGATATGCCCATAAGATGCAAAACTAAAAAATGAAAATCAAGAGTGAGACAGCTGCCGTTCCGGAATGTTGTTTATAGACATCAGATGAAAGAAACGGATGTATCCAACGTCACAGTGGGCCATCTGTTCAAATACAGAACACACAAGCACCATCAATTCTGCCATTATTAGCGAGTACGATAACATAATTAGCTTGTAGTACAAACTTAGTATACAAATGTTTCCTTCCAAATATCTTGTAAAGGAAGTTCTATCCCGTCCTGTTGGAATGGAAATCCATAGAATCAACCTTAAAGACTGACTTTTCTAGGCCTCTACGAAATTCTAAACCAAGATGTAATAAACAAATTATAGAACAGCAAAGGTGACGGCCGGCATAAACAAAAAAAAAAGCTCGCAAGATCTTAAGACAAAAGATTGAAGGAAGGCTTGCTTTTTAGAGACCATTTGCTTATGTGAATATGGGAAACTCCCGGTGAGGTAATCTGTTCAGTGAACAGGAAAGGCCCATCCCATCCCATATAATGAATTGTTACTACATTAATGCATCAGCCCTCCACAAAAAACAACGGGAAACATAAAATAATTTGAGGACCACTGGCCGTCTATATTGTCGGATTTAAGTAATTGGTTGGCTGACATGGCGCAACAGTTTCGGAAGACTCAGATGAAGTTTCATCTCCAGATGTACTGTCGACTGGTCTTGGTCATTAATTACGATCGGTCTGAACTTCCTCGACCTAAGAAAGGCCAGAAAAAGCACGAGAAACCAGTGTGCAGAAATCCCCATATCTATTTGCGTATGAAATAAACATACCTATTTACGACAAACCGCATATCTCACATAATATGCTTAATTGCTAGAGCTTTAGTTGCTATCAAAAATCCACCATCATCAGGAATGTATAACATCGCCACGAAGCACAATTTATCCTCTACTAAACGACCCGCGCCTTGTTCGTTAAGCAAACTTAACAAAATGCAATTTTTGAATCATAGTGAACAGAAATGGCCGAGACTGTCAGACGAATTTTTGCTCTGTAAATAAAGGAAGACATACAATAAAACAACAAATATAACAACGAAAAGAACATTTCCACACGTGCACGCATACATACTCACTGACCGCCGCATGTTGCATGAACAATAAACAATAAGACATTTTTTGCATAGATTGTTCTTCGGGAAATACATTCATAATCAAACAATTTTCCACCCAATGCAATTACTGAAGAAGGAGAGACACAATTACATTATATGTACAACAATATTTGAAACATTTTCAACATTGCACTCTACCTGAAGAAAATCCATTCCCTATCCAGCTATGCCTAATTACAACATGAATGGCATTCAAATTGCCACATTAAAATGATAAATTCGATGCCCAAATGATCCTTGCATTGAGTCCTGCACATTTCTGTTTAAATTATAGCCTTAAATTCTTCAATTTTTACAATTCCGCAGATCTTCATCACCAATTTATACTGAAGGAATTTGAGGATAAATCATACAAATACACCCTAATACGCCATTAACATCGACCAAAATCAGCTCTTTTTTAAAAAGTAATTTAAAAAAAAATAGCGTACAAAAAAACGGAGTGATGTTGGTAGTTGCTGATTATCAACTTCGGATGCAAGAATAGAGCTTGCATTGCAATGTTTCTTTATACTCACATTTCCTTAACTGCAAATTGGAAACTAACCAATTCAGGAACAGTTGACAATTAGCGATCACTATCAAATAAGATAAACGAAAGAACCGTCAAAACCATACAGAATTTACAGGACGAAAACAAAAGGAAGGACATGAGGAACAAATGAAATAAATTAAAGAATGAGAAAATACAATTTCACAAATAACTATCAATTTAAAGTCATCTTTTCCTCGCAACCTTAACAACACATTAAACAAATAACTAACTATTCAATTTTCCTTCAATCTGAAATTCACAGTGAAGGTTCTCCCTTCTCTTTTGAAAATTTTAAAAATTATGTAAATTTTGGTGGGAAGATTTCTTTCAATATAAATTTTGGTAGGTGGTTTTTTTGTTTTTTTTTTTTGGAAATACTCATTGCTTGATGTCCACAGGACATCCATCATACCACCAATCTTTTCAACGTTACATGTCACTTGTTAGCAACGATCATTCTCTAAATTTGTAAATTGAAATAATCTTTCCAGTAAGAAGATTTACAAAATCAAATTAATTATAACTAACTCATTAACAATGAGGCAATTCCATGTTTTTGAAAACAACTGAACATTTTACAAAGCGCATACAAGCAAAACAAAGTTGATAAGCATTTGAAATTGGGGGAAAGCAAACAAACAACGAAATTTTGAATAAAATCAAGAAAGAGAGAAAACAGGCACTCACTTTTCAAGTTGCAATACTCCCTTAATCTTTCCCTCTCTTCGTCATCTCTTTGAGCTTTTCTCTTTACTTTCCATGCGTCATAACTACAACAAGTTTGTCTGAGATACGGCAAAAATTAAAATTCCTGAAGGCATTTTCTCTGCTCAGTTTTGCTGCATTTGTAGTGCTGGCGCTTGCGAAGGCGGTGGTGGAGGTGGTGGTGGCTGACTGGTGTAGATAACCTGACCGGATGTCTGATTTGCTGGTATGGCACCAGCAGCAGCAGCAGCGACGGCAGCAGCAGCAGTAGCAGCAGCAACATTTGCAGCATCTGTATGTATTGCAGCTAATTCTGGAACAAAATTTTGCAACGGTGTCGCAGATGTCACCACGGCACCAATCATATTCGGGTCTGTCGTTGCCTGTAAACAAATCTTTTTCTACAAATTCCTAACATTTTAAAAATGCTTGACAAAGTAATGTTAGTGATTTGTGGAAAAGTTTTGCAATAAATCCTAAATACATAGTGTTTGATTTACCAGTGTTATTGATGTGTGACATTGAACAAGTGATATTTAAATTTCGAAACCAAACAACTTTGCATATTATGTTTGTTACGGTAGTATTAAACAATCATGTACACTATGGTGTTAAACAGATGTAACGAAATACATTTTATCAATCAATCATTCGTGAATTTAAATATACAACTTCCTGAGCTTTATACACATTTTGTTACGGTAATATTTTGTCTGCAACACAGTGGTTAAAAGGATCAAAGCCAACCAGAAGATCAGGAATCTGACCTCCAAAATTTTCCGTCATAAGAAACCATATGAACGTCAGACAAGAGTGGACAAACTACCTGGACACCATATGGCCATGGATAGATTGGAACTGTGTAGGCTTGCATAGCAACCTGAGGAATTGCTGTGCCAGCGGGAGCCTGATTAGCTGTCATACTTGTACCCGGCCCGATGCTTGTTAATTCAGCTGACGGATGTAGCATTGCATTAGCACCTTGAAGTGATAAATTTTGCATTTGAGCAGCAAGGTTCCCCATTGGAGCATCTCCATAACCTGTAATTTGTTTGGCAGATATGAATCCATAATTTTCGACATAGGACTATCTTTAAATTTATGCCTTCCTTTCTCTTCATTCTTCATTAACCATTTGTTTGATCACAACAGCTATAATCATACATCTGAGTGATTTTATAGATAATAATATAAAAAAAACCTAATCTTGAATATTTACCTGAGAAAACATGATACTGAGGATGTGGACTGTAGACATAAGGCGATGGTGGTGTTAGTAAGTATTGGTAGTTCGGATTGCTGCGGATATATTGACCGCTTTGGTCATAAGGTGGTGTTGCAAAACACGGTTGCTGAAAGGTGGACTTTCGCAAAAGTTACATAATGCAAAAAATCTTTAAATATATTTCTGATACCATCTCACCCTGAATAAACAGAGAAAGTAAATAAGACTTACAGTAATCTCAAGATGTGTAAGGCTACCATACAATCCCGGTACACTTTGCAAAGGTCGACTTTTTGTCTTTTTATTACTATCTGCATATTTCACCATAAGCGGCAAATTGCAACCCGGAATTATTTTTTTCCCATTCATTTCCTGTAAAGCAACAATCATTAAAATCTATCAAAAATTATCGCAAAAATCTCCAGTACGAGTTAAATGAATTGAACGTTCAATAGTTGAGCAATTACTTTGATAATTTTTGCACATAATTCTTCATTATCCATCCGAGCGAACCCAACACATCTGCTTGAACCATCACCATTCTTCAACACTCTTGTACTGATTGTTGAACCATAACTTTCCAGCAGCTTTTGCAAATCTCTTTCTGTATAATTCGGTGGCAAATTTGCCAAGTACAAATTTGTCGGATCTTGTTCCTGTTGCTGAAAGAGGCTATTTTGGTTGTTTGGACTCAGCGCCTGCAATGAAAATTCGCCCGTTAACGTTCCGCATGATAGCGTTAAAAATGTAATTCTCCCGAAATAGCTGCTGCAAAGACTGTTTAAACATTGGTAAATTACAGGCACAACAAATGAAAAAAAAAAAACCAGAATGTTACAACTCTTCCCTCTCGTCTAATTCTCGCTTCATCCATCTCTTTGTCTACTTTCCCTCTCGACGACAACCTATCATCCTTAATTTTTGATAGAACTGAAAAAGTTAAACTTATGTTCTCCACCACATTCCACTTAAAAAAATTCCCCTCTACTTTTGCTTCCTCCTCGGAATAGAGGGACAATCAGGGAATGACGGGAAAAAAAGTGATTTTAACTTGAAACCTTTCAACATTAACTTCTCACTTGACAGTTATCATTCAAACTTTAGTATGAGCTTCTCAAGCAAAAACAGAAAACAAGACATACATACGTCTGGAAATCTCTATTTCATTCAGCGAGTTTTTGCTATTTACGCAGGTTACACATTTAAAAAAAATTGTGTCCGCAATCAATAATTACCTTAGCCATTTGCGCTCGGACCTTCCCTTCCTGATTCAAACCTTCAACAGCACGTACTGCATCAGCTGCTTCCTCGAAATCAACGAATCCATAACGTTTACATTGACCAGTTGTCTTGTCCTTCAATAAAAGCTCTCACAATTTTCGAATTTCAAAATGTAGAGCTTGGGGACAATTTACTACTAATTAGAGTAAATGATATTCCTCCGTATAATTTCCTAATAATTAGCACTTCGACAAAATACGAGCATCTCAGATAAAAACGGAATATTTTGAAAACAAATAACTGAAGAGCATATTAATAAAATGTCACCATAATTGCTTTCGTTGATGCTATCCGGCCGAATTTCGCGCACATATCTCTTAGATCATCATCAGTTGTATTTTGCTCAAGCCCACGAATGTAAACATTCGTCTGAACAAAAATAAACAAATAAGTGCAAAAGCACAGAGTCTGATCCCTATAAATCATTGCTTCTTGCTTTCAAAAATAATCTGATCAACACTTCGTAAACTTCCCCACCGTATTCCCTTTCAAGCGCATCTAAAAACAAAAACCTATCTTCTATATGAAATGTTTCCTTAACTAACCAAGCTTAATGATGGAACCGGTGATCCAGTACTGTTCCTACGAGTACTTATACCCGAACTCCTTAAACCATTACGCGACTGTGTTCCGTCGTTTGTACTTCCATACCCATTGCACATATTTTGTTGCTGTAATGAATTATAACAAATTCCCATTTTCCTAGCAATTTTAAAGGACTCCAACCCATCAAAAAGCTTTTTAAATGGAACTTGTTCATTTATTCACTTTCGAATAGACTAAATTAAACATCCTTTCTATTGCTTTAAACATAATTCACACAACTAAGATGATGTAATCGATGAATCAGCGGTCTTGTCTTCAACCTATCAACTGAACCAATCATGCAGTAAATCATAATAACAGATGTGTACCAAAACTGCTCAGTTGTGAATGTGAGTTTAAAACAAGATGCTAAGTGCCAGTAAATAAAAATGGAATTATTGTAGATAAATTTACAAAAGATCCATGAAAATGTTGAGGTCGAGTGAAATTCTGTCCCGTATATGCATTCATATGCGCGTTCGACCGATATGGAGAAGGCGTATGTCCAAGTACGGCTGATGATATTCCTGCCGACCTGAAATTCACAGTATTGCATAATTCAAGAAACAACGAGACAACTGCGCCGAATTCATCCAAGCAAAAGCTGCAGGAAGTATTTAGTTTAGGAACAGGAAACTTTCCGCTCAAAAAAAAGTTCAGTAGCAAAAAAAAAGGCTTAGCAAAACTTTCATTTCATCCTAAAAATCCATTAAAAGCATTGTCTAATGAAAACTTGTGGTTTAGAATCTTCCTCCAAAATCAATAACTTTGCAAAAACTTCCCTCCTTATTTGTCTTAAACGTGTATTATGAATCTAAGACGATGAATTTTGGTCAAGAACAGTCCGTTAAAATCAATTTAAAATCGACTCGACACGTCTCGTCGAATTTCATTTTGTCCCAAGAGAACTAAACAAGAAATATGGAAATGATAAAAAAGTAATTGGAATATGAACAAGGATTACTTACCCCATATAGCGAAGCTTACTTTGTCGATAGTTGTATTATTACACTATTGTTGTTATTGCTAATAGAAGGAATATATAGAGTGGTACTCAAACAACTATACACCAGTAAGCATCCGTAATAGATGTACAACGGTGACGTCTTTGGAGTCAAATGCTAATCGTTGTTGTCGTTGCTACTGCTTCTACTACTACTATACTACTACTACTGCTACTACTACTACTGCTACTGCTGCTGTTGTTGTTGTCGTTGTTATTGTTGTTGTTGTTATTAAGTTGCCCAGGATGCTGCCACAGACTGAAAGAATGATAACCAGGTGTATGCGTATATTGCTCACGTGTTTCCGCAATATGAGAAACGTCTATCTTGTCTCGAGAAATAAGCGGACATTTAAATAAAACAAAAGTATGCACAAAGGACTAGTGAAATATACAACAAAAAAATACAATTAATGTGACGTGTTTAATCTCTTCTGAGAGGTTGCGCTGAGATTGTGCCGCGACCTCTCGGGATTAAAAGCCTTCCACTGAGAGAGCAACCAAATTTTCTGTTAATCATACATGAGATGTGCTTTTCACCAAATTTCTCCCAATAAAAAGTTTGAAGATTATAAAATTAAAAAGTCTCCTTGAGCTACCTGTTCCAAGTTAGCAAATTGCAGGTAAATCCTCAATCTTACCTTTCTAAGCATTGGTTACCTTCTTTGCTTCCGCCAACGTTGTCATTTCCCATTCAATTAATCAATCATCCATTAACCTTTTTTCAAATAATTCGCTGGGAGTGAGTGTTTTTATGGCATCCCAATAAACTTTACTTCCGTTCCTCTCCCTCTCTCTCCCTCTAAGAAGCACCTTCCTTTAAATCAAATTTAAAACCCTCACACTGTTCGAAATGTCTCCTTTTCTTCCCTCTTCCCACTCCTTTTCTCCCTCTTTCTCTTTTGAAATAGTATTTCTAACAATTAAACAGATAAAGATGGAGAAAGAAAAAAAGAGTGAGAAAAAAAAAAAGAAATCCTCCATTCGAAGTGATATCAATTTCAATTTATATTCTAAACAACTGCAAGAAACGACAAACGTTTGTTGCTACTACATGGA